TAATAGAAGGAAATCGGTATTTTTTGTAAAATAACCTTTGAAAAATTGATACTTTGTGAAGCAGCATTAAAAAATCGGCATTTTGTAAAATCTGTTATAATCCCAATATTTTGTAAAATCTATATTTTCTACATCGGTTAGAAAATAGGGATTTTGTAAAATCGGGACGATGAAAATCGGGCTTGGTCGGTTTAAAATCGAGTAAAATTGAGATATCCGAAAAGTCGAGCCGACCGTGCGGCTCCACCCCATGATATGCAAAATGGCAGAGCAAACCAGTCAACGGTAAGCGCGCTGCGGGACCCGAAAGCCATCGGGAATGTTTCTCCATCCCCACGGCAAAAGATTTATTGCCCCCCCCCCAGGCGGCTATATGCAAATCGGATCTGATCGGGCATCGGGGAATGGAGGGAAGGCTGGTTGACTGTAGAAAAGAAGACTGGTCAGATTACCACCAACCCTTCGGTATGAGAGAGCGAGAGAGAGGGAGAGAGAGAGAGAACACGAGCTACTAAAAACACGAGCTTCTTTTCCGCGTTGTTCCACTTTGCGGGTTCGACTTCTAGCCGCCGCGGGCTAAGCCGTTCGCCTTCCCGAAGGGGCGAAAAACGTTTTTTGACTGGTTCCTCGCGCCCGGCGGCTCAACTTTAGGTTTTTGGCTCTGAATATCGGGGGACTTTTTGATTTTTGATGTCAAATTATGCTCCTAAAACATCGTTGTTTCAACAAAAAAAAAATCGAGAAAATGCCAAATTCCGACAGTCACGAAACCAAGATGAAAACCTTGACACTCAGAAATGTCGACAAATATAATGCTGATGGCAAAAATGCCGACAACCATAATCCCGGCATATTCATGATGCTATGAATGTCACTTTTCCAAGAGCCCCAGTTAATAGTACCAGGGTTACGAACAGCGCCAGAATACGCACGCGTGAGAGTCCCTTTCAAAGTGCAGGCATCCTAGGGGAGAGTGGTCAACCGTGGTCGAAATTAGTGAAAATGAGATGGGCGGAGAATCGAAACCTCGAACGGGCCAGATCTCGGCCCGAGATTAGTGGCCGGCAGATCGGAATGCACCCGGTGGCATCCCGAAAAAAGGGAGGAAAAGCCAAGGAACGGATGTGAAAGTGTGAATCCAAGGAGCGAAGATCTAGGCAACGAAAACCTGATAAATTCTAAGGGTTGTGGGTGTGCATGAGTTTTTTTCTAAATGGAAAGGGATTTGGCTGTGACGGGAATTTGCTTCACCTTACTCTTAGGCCAGCAAATCAAGGAACCGACGGGGCCCCGGAAAAATTGCAGGGGTCAGCTGGCGGTGAACAGCGCCACCTCCATGTTGACAAATTGCCGAAAAACACGCAAAAAATGGGCAGAGGAATTTGTGGAATGGCTGGATGGCACCCGGAGGGATGGGGTTAACTTTCAGCGATAGCATATTACCGAATCGACGTTAATTAGCATATTAGGTGCTCGGCCCGAATAAGTGAAATTTTTTGATTGATTTGATTTCATTTGATTTTAAAAAATTTTAATTTTCCAAAAAATCCATCTAACCGAAATCGGAATTTTTCGCGGGACCGTTTGTTAATCAACAGCAATTTGGAAGCTCGCACCTGGAGCGGACGTGTATTTTTTTAGAAATATGCCAATTTTAAGGCATTTAGCTCTTAAAAAATCGGCGTTTCGGAAAAGAGAAATCCGAAGACAATTCGAATCCCAGACAAAATGTCGACAGCCATAATGCCGACAGCAAAAATGCCGACCGCCAAAAACCCGACATGTTCTTGACGCTAGTTGCTTTTCATTCCGGGATTTTGGCTTGTCGGGATTTTTGCCTGTCGGGATTTTTGCTTGTCGTATCGACGGAATTGCCTACAATTCCTTACCAAGCCCTAGTTTACATTTCGCCACCAGAAATCCCCTAGAAATTGTCACGTCAGAAAAACTGTGGAAAGGAATGTTCGGAATCCGGCGAGGGGACAGCCGGTTGGATCAGAGGACCACCGGAAATGAAGGGCATTCCCCCCCTGGGGGTGTTTGTTGTGGGAAATGTTTGCCGCCCATTCCACCGCCTCCCCTCCGTCCTTCCTTTTGATATTTCCGTGCCCTCCGGGTTTCCCATTGCCAACCCCATTTTTTTCGCGCGTGTATTTATGTGGCGTGAGGGGTCAGCGGGGGCGACAATGGACGCCGAATTGCAGCTTGTACCGAGAAGCATCGGGGGCGCTAAACGTTGGACAATGGATCAGGGCGGTTGTAAATAGTAAATTGACCTTTTTCTAAGGCTCCATGTTTAATAAATATAATTTCAATATAAATTGAAAAAGCGTTTCTAAATTGTTTTTTCCAAAATTTTATGGACAAAAAAAAATAGCGATTTTTCGACAAACATTTGCCAAATTTCGACAAGAATTTCTGTTAAAAAACATTTTCTAAGGTTTTCTTTTAGTGGTTTTTACTTTACTTTAGAAAATTTAGGTATAAATTCACAAAAATTTGCGATTTTCGACAAGAATTTCGACAAGAGCTTCGAGTAAAAAATATTTGCTAAGTTTTTTATTGGTTGTTTCTACAAAAAATATAGTTAAAACTTGTTAAAAGCCTATTAAAAATTTGCTATTACGGTATTAGACATTTCTGAACTGACAAAAAAGGTTGGTCACGCCGTATAATGTGAAAGAACCAGGAAATGTGATCATACGCGCGTAATAAAAGTATTTTTCTCCAAAAAATGTCGCGTTTCTCAAAAATTGCTTTTTTTTCAAACACAGTCGTTTTTTTGGATGCGCCATTCGGCGAGCTAGCAGAGATTCTTATGGAATTCTAGCTACGTCGGTATTGGAAGCAGATTAGGAAGACCGTACACTTCAAAAACTGAGCTTCTGGGGTCAAAAACAGCGACAAATCCCCGGGGTTGGGGTGGATGGTGGGTGTGTGTGCATGCCGTGGCAATAAAAAGGTTGTATCTGGGTGCCCTTTTCCCCCCGCCAGCCCACATCGGCTTATCAGGTGCCAAAAAATTTCGACGCGTCACACATTCGGGGGACATTCAGGGAATGAGGAAAACGCTGGGAATTCCGCCCGGCAACAATTAACAGGTTCCGTTTTTTGTGACTAAAACCAGAATTTATTCTTTAGAATTTTGGCGCTATTCCATTATCGGGGGGGGGGTGAAAAATTTTTTTCCCCTCAAATTTTTTTTTTTAAAAAAAATTTTTTCGAGGTTTTCGACCAACTTTTGGAAATTTTTTAAAGTTTTTAGATACCTTTTACCATTTAAAATAGTTAGATTTTATTGAAAACTTATTAAGAACACTTAATACTACATTCATAGGCAATTCTAGGCTTACGGTAAGCAACTTGCCCCGCCCCCGATAATGCGAAAGCACCAGGGCGCATACTGTTTATGTTAATCTCTAAAAGGCAAGTTACCTATTAAATCCGAACACGCAAAAAAGGGAATAAAACGGAAAATTTAAAGCAAGGTAGGCTTTACATTAAAACCTCTAAAGAGATGCATGAGAAAATGAATATCGAAGAGCTGAACCCTCAAAAAATTTTAACGGCATCCGCCAGCTGATAGCCGCATTTTGATGGGGGCCATCTTAAAAAGGGGAGCGCCTCGGAAAAAGATTGGTGAGACGAAATGAGGAACAATGGGAGGAGAGAGAGAGAGAGAGCGTGAGAGAGAGAGAGAGAGAGAGAGAGAGAGTGAGAAATACTGGAAAATGCTCAAAAAATGGAACGCCGCCCCTCAACCCCCATTCATCCGCCGGCCATCATCTGCCCACGTACTGTTCCACGCTCGACACCGATCCTTCCCCCGGAAAAAGGGCACCATTTAGGGCGAGACGGGACGGGAGTCGAGCCCATTTCTCCTCCTCCTCCCCGCTTTTCCACAGCTATTACCGTCCGGGGGGGGAGTACGCTACACAACAAGTTCCGCCCGACAGTCCCACCCCCGCAACAATGAGGGGGCTGTGCGGCTTAGCTGAACGGTGAGCAGCAGTGTGTGGAAAACAATCCAGTGCTTCCGAATTTATCTCTTCGTGATTCCGACCGGGCGCGCCAAAAATTTGGGAAAACAATGTTGAAAAAAGCGTCGTAAAGTTGGCGAAGAAATTTAAGCTAAGCCTAAAGATAAGTCTAAGCCCAAACCTAAGCCTAAGATCTAGTGATTCAAGTAACCAAAATTACACAAAAAAAAACGAAAATTGACAGTCGAGGAAAATAGCTAGATGACTGGCTTCCGGTGAAGTCGAATTGGTTAAAAAGTGTTCCTTGCCCTAGGAATGTTTCTGTCGCTTTCTCTCATTCTTTCTCTCTCACTCTCTCTCTCTCTTCCTCGTGATCTCTCGCCACCTCTTTGTCCCAAAGACAAAACATCAATAAAAGCGCCCATTTTCTGTGCCGATCACATTTCCCTCGCTTCATTTTTAGCATTCCCTAAAGACTAAAGAACAGCTCTTTTTCATTATAGCAATGCTTAATAAATGAATTTCAATTCAATAAAAAAATTCAGGCAAAATCAGCGAGAATAACGCTGAAAAGCAACATTTTTGGCTGATATTTATAACGAGCCATTCTGGTTGACAGCCGACAGGAAAAGCCGTCAATATTGGCCTCTCGGCTGGGGCACCAAAAAAATAGAAAACCGCTGAAAATAGTCAAACTTAAATAGAGGAGGCTGTTGCTTTTTGGGGCCATTTGTTTTCCACAGCATTAAAGGGATCAGGAAGGCACAGAAAAAATTAGCATAAAACGGCTTTAGTTCTAAATTAGCATAAATTCATTAAAATTTACGGCTAGCTCGTTGCCAATTATAGATGAGCCCTGATCTACTGGGCCTTCCTGATCCCTTTAAAGGGCCCGGCAAGGCATGACTATGGATTTTTCGCCTTGGAATTATCCAGGCAATTGAATAAATTAGAATATTGCATAAAGCGCCCGGAAAAAACGGGATGAAAGGGAAAAATTCGCAAGCGAAACCGGTCGCTATGCTTCTCGACTTGGCCTGGATCTTCTTACTGTAGTTCTACTGGGGCGTGCTTGCGAAAGCTGTCTTTTCCAGGGTCACCAATTCGATCGCCTACAAATGCCCATCGACCAACGAATCGCTCACCTGCCAGGGGCGGCTCTGCTATTTTTCGTCGAAACAGACGGCTGAGGTTGGCATTGGGGGCTTTAGGCTTTGGCTTAGACTTAGCTTAGGCTTCGGCTTCGGCTTAGGTTTAGGCTTAGCTTGGGCTTAGGTCTAGGCGTTGTCAGAGGCTTAGTCTTAGCTAGGCTTAGCTTAGGCTCAGCTTAGGCTTCGGCTTCGGCTTGGACTTACAAGGGAACCTCAAGTTGGCACGGTGGAGTTTCGAGAAACGCTCGCGGCTACCCCCAGGTTTTCGACTATGGCGATTCCAATGGTTTAGTCAGAATTTCCTAAATGGGCTTCTGGACAGAGATACAGCACTCCCGGAAAATGGTGATTTACATCCGAAAAATTAGCATTAGCGATAGGTTTATGAGGCTCTCCCATGACTATGGAATCACCAGTGGAATGGCCGAGTGGTAAGCGACTCGCCTGATAGGATACTGACGAGGGTTCGAACTCGCTCGCGATTTTTTATTTTGCTTTTTGACCAGAACTTTCTCTTCAACTCCAAGTCTTGGATTTGGATCGTTAATTTTTCCAAAAATTCGTTTTCTTTCTAAAATGTCTAGAAGTATTAGGAAAGCAATTAGGCAAAAAATCTGATCCGGCGACTCATAGAAACACATTTATCATAGACTCATAGAAAAAGGAGATGAGAACTCCGAACCGTTCCATACAATTTTTTCGAATTTTGAAGCAGTCAAGCGGGCGGCGGCAATAATCAAAATGTTTTCCTATATTAAAAATGAAAACTTGGAGTTGAGGAGAAAGTTCTGGTCAAAAAGCAAAATAAAAAATCGCGAGCGAGTTCGAACCCTCGTCAGTATCCTATCAGGCGAGTCGCTTACCACTCGGCCATTCCACTGGTGATTCCATGGTCATGGGAGAGCCTCATAAACCTATCGCTAATGCTAATTTTTCGGATGTAAATCACCATTTTCCGGAAGTGCTGTATCTCTGTCCAGAAGCCCATTTAGGAAATTCTGACTAGACCATTGGAATCGCCATAGTCGAAAACCTGGGGGTAGCCGCGAGCGTTTCTCGAAACTCCACCGTGCCAACTTGAGGTTCCCTTGTTAGCCTAGGCTTAGCTTAGGCTTATGCCTCAATGTCCGTTCCCATTTCAGGGCCTCATCCAATGGGCCGATTGCCATGTCCCACCTCCATTAGTGCGACCACTGGGCGTATGTGCGGATACGATCGCGTCAGCGGCCAACGATTCCATCCGCAATGTCTGTATTGGTCGAGGTATCTGGGGAAATCTCTATGCCTACGAAACCGGGTTGTAGTTGGCGAAAAGTTCTGTTGCTGCCAGGGCGACGACTGCAACAAGGGGCTAATCACCAGGTAGACCACAAGCTACAGTGCCGATAAATTCTTCGCATCCAGGCACGAGTATGTTGGCGGGGACCTCGATGACGTTCGACACTTGTGCTACGCGATTGGCATTTTGGGATTTGTGAGTTTGGAGCGTCCTTAAAGCTGCCGACCCCCACCTACCATATCTCGGTTCCTTGTTCATCTACAGGTGTGTAAAGTATACCAAGATACTCGACAGAGCAAGATGAACATTTTGGAATACTTTACACACCTGTAGATAAACAGGGAGCCGAGATACAAAAGTTGGGGGGGTATCTGGAGACTTACCCAGCATTTGCCCAATTTTTCAGTACTGTCTGGTGTACTCGCTGCTGTGCTACATGCTGGGCGACGACAGGGGGAAGCCGGAGCTACAGTTGCCACCAAATTACAGCTGGTTCCTCAACGGCATCTACATCATCCAGGCATACTTTGAAAGCATATGGCCCATTTTTGTCGTGTTTTCTGCAAAACAGCTATCTTTGATGGCTGTTAAAGATTGTCAAGAATTGGACACATCTAGATAATCGTGGCCCTCGTGTGTTGTGCCATACAACTTGCCCCCCTGAAGCCGGAGTGCTCTCCGCCGGAATATGGACGATTTGTTGGTGGGTCAGGGATGAATGAGCACGTGTTTCGAAACACTTTTTTACTATTCTTACCAGATGGTTACAGTCGCTTCGCGACTGCAACCATCTGGCCTTCGGGCTACCCAACATGTCCCACTCCACCACATCCTTTCCCACTTCCATCAATACCCCCGATAGCCGAAATCCCTTTCAAAAACTACCTAAATAGCTTCCCGATGGCTTCAGATACCCCCAATGGCTGAAATCCCCTTCAAAAACTACCTAAATACCTTCCCGATGGCTTCAGATACCCCCCATGGCTGAAATCCCCTTCAAAAACTACCTAAATAGCTTCCCGATGGGTTCAGATACCCCCAATGGCTGAAATCCCCTTCAAAAACTACCTAAATACCTTCCCGATGGCTTAAGATACCTCCCCTATCCGAAATCCTTTTGAAAAACGAAAATAACGACCGACCGGATGGAATGAGAGAAAAAAAGAAATGAAATCCCCCGTGAAAATTTTCATCCACGAAACGCGCGCGACCTGGCTCACTATGTCCAAAATCACCCCAACCTCCGTTCCCACCCCTTTTACTAAGGAAAAAACTTTCAAAGTTAATTTTAATAATTTAAACTAAAACTTTTTCGTAATTTTTTTATCAGTTTAGGGGTTTCTGACCACGCTCTATCCGAATCCGAAGAGAGCTAAGCTCTAGCTCCTTTCCCCTTCGAGTTGAATCCGGGACCGGACACACACACACACAGACACCTCAAGAAAATTATTATAGTAGATAAACGCAAAACCTCACAAATTTTTATTGAAGGATACAAAAAAAAACTTTTCGACCAAATTCACCTAAAAAAATTTATCAGCGTTTTTAAAATTTGTTTATCCACTAAAATATAGTTAAATTTGGGGAAAAACACTATTAAAAACACTTATTACTACGTTGCTAGACATTTCTGGACTTGTTGAAAAAAGTTAAGTAGCCAAAATACAGCCTCAATAAAAACTTGCAGCACTCTTTTGAGGAAACGAATTTTTTGTGCTGGTATTTGAAACTTTCAGTACCACTGGAGCCGCTGTTTGCCCTGGGAAATTCAGCAACGATCGCCATGCTTCTCGTGGCCGACGTCTTCTTCGCCATCGCTCGCATCAGACAGACCGAATATTTGGTACGCGAATTCTTGAAAATTGTCGCCTTTTGAAAGAACCCGTAAGATTTTGCACGTATTTCAGGCAAAAACCCAACGATTCCCCTTTACGGCGGCCATCGACCAGGTGCTCCAGATTACCACAATGTTCGCCTGGAATTCATTGGTACGACACAGTCCGTTTTTCTCAGATGGCCTATTTAATTTGCAGCTGATCTACACGACCGTCGATCTGCACGAACTGTTTGTCGACGGTCCGCACTGCAACTACGACACCGCCCGCAATGTATTGAGCGTAAGGAATTTTGGCTAAAGCTTAGAGTCGCAGTCTTATTTTTAGCTCAAGCACAGGCTTAGGCTTACTAGGGAGGTATCTGAACTCGGCATCGAACTTTGAAAAGTCAGATACACCATTCGACGCGCCTTGTCGAGGGGATTCCAAATATGTAATAAAATCAACCAGAGCCTATAACGATAAAAAGTTATGAGCATTTTAAGTTTTGCAGCGAAAACCACCGCGGCGATATGAGCCCCTCCCAGCGCACCCTGCTCATCGGCCCCGTGGCCTAGTGGTGTGCGCATGGTTCTCCGGTCTGTACGACCAGGGTTCGGATCCACTCACAATTTTTATTTTTGCTTTTTTGACCAGTTTTTACTTTTTGCATTTCCAAACTCGGGAATAAGTTTTTCTTGACTGTGTGACCCCTAAAAGGCACCAGCGATGATAAAATAACCTCCGGCAACAAGACCAGGATTGGACGCTCTCTATATCAAAGTTGGCAAAATCATCGAAAACCACCCTTTTAAGACTCTGTACGCATTCGAAGAATGTAATTTGTCGAAAACAGAGCAGTACATCTTGATCAGCAGAAAATTCTCTTT